TCTATTAAAAGTGGGTTACGAGACATAGTAAATCATATGATCCGTACCTCAATTTTAATAGAATACTACCCATATAACGTCATTTTGACTATTTCGACTTTTCATTTCCAATAATCAAAATAATTTTGACCATTTTGACTATTTTAGATATTTAAAATAATCTATTTTGACTTCACATATAGCTATGATATTACCTAAAAGTTATATGCATAAATATAATAGTAGGTATCCATAAATTCAATTAATTTAAAATAATAATATATTTGTATTTATGTAGTATCCTCAATAATTAAAGTCAGATATATTTCATAAATAGACTATTCAAAAATAATTAATAATATTAATAGTATTAAAATTAATTGAAAATAATAAAAAAATAAATAAGTAATTACTTTAAATAATTTAGTAATAGCTTTCTTATTTGTTGAATCATTACATTTAAATTTTTTTTTTAATAAAAGTTATTCTATTCAATCATTTAATATATTCTGAATATTTGCTATATTTTCTTTTAATTTTATTTCTAATTTATTAAATTTTTGAATTTTATTTCATATATTATTTAATGTATTTGCTATATTAATAAAGCTTTAGATTCGAAACTCATTTGATCATGTTTAAGTATTATTATATCTTAAAAATCTAAATTCAAAATATTTATAATTTGTTCTGCTAGATTTTTCTAGTTATGATTAGAAACAGTACAAAGTATAATAAGCATATTAAAATTTTTATAAAAAAAAAAACAAATTAATATAATCTATACTGATCCATAATTATATTAGTTGTTTGACTTTCTATTAGTATAAAGGCATAATATTAGAAGTATTATTTGATTTATATATTAAATATTAAATGCATTTAAAAACTCAGTTAAATGTTTAATAGCATTACTTGGTTCAAAGATTGTGTTCTTATAAAATACAAATACTTAGCTATTATAAAATAATCCAAAAATATCATTAGAAATTAATATAAAAAATGTAACTAATAATATTTTAAAAAGTTTTGTAAAACCATGATTAGTTATAGCTAAAGTACTATTCTGTATAATTATAGAATATCTATAGAAATTGCAACATCTTCTTCAATAAGTACTTCATATTTATCATCAACAGAAATTATGTAAGTTTATTAATTGTATTGGATGCAGAATTCTTTAAAATATCAAAAAAATGCTATACAATAATATGTATCATTACTACTTTTTCGAAGTAACTATCCTTACACCTTAAATTTAATATTAAATTAACTAGTATGATTGATATAATTGATGTATTGATCTTATTATAATAATATTTATAAAACAAAATTAAATAAAATGTGTGAATAATAGAAGAAAATGGATTATTATAATTAATTTTTAATTTTTCTATTATAATTTCATAAAGATCACAAATAGATAAAGCTAATTGCATATATAAAATTGTTTTATATCATTATTTATCTACTGTAAGTAAATTTTATTATTAAATAAATAAATACATTGTAATAAAAAAATGAAAAATAAAATAAATATAAAAGCCTTTACTTTATTTATTAAAATAAGCATTTATTTTATTATAAAATGCATTAAATTTCATTTCTTTAAACCCATTATTTGTTTGCAAATCAAAAATAATATTAGAACTTGCTAAAAATAATATTAATTATAGTTTTCTTTTACATCATAACTGATAGCATCTGATATTACAGTAATATTATTAGTAAGATCAAAATGAAACGTTTGTAATACAACTAGTATGATTTTTTGAATATAAGAATATTAAAATAAATTATAATAAGATTTTTAAATTAAATATTAATTACATTATATTATTAATTTATTATTTTATTTAACATTCTTTGCATTTATATATTAAGGTAATTCTTTATTAATCCTAGCTAATATATATACTTTTAAAGATTTATTTTGTTTTTCATTTTCTAAAATTCTCTAAATATAATTAATATTCCTAAATAATTAGTTTGATAATAAAATGGATTATTAATTTTTTATAAATAATTGTGATTATATTAAGTAAATACTAATCTATATATACTTACCTATTGGAAATGTAAGCTGCAATTCTTTTATAAATTGATATCTTTTCATAATATTAGTTAAAAGATATTGTTTAATATCAATATACTCATAAAAGTAATTTTAAGTAAAATATCATTTAACTATTTATAAATATTATTAAAGTCTTCATATTTACAGGCAGTAATTCAATACATAATACAATTATTTTTAGGATTATAAGCACTTTCATTACTATGATGAAGATTAGTTATATTGGTATATTTTATAGTGAGATATTCTGTATATTTTTTTAGAGTTTAGATCAAAGATAAAATTGCAAAAATTACTTAATTCTAGATATTATTACTTGCCTATAGGCTAACTAATAAATAATACAAAAAAACTCAAAAGATAAAGTAGTTATTACTATGATAATTGGATTTTTTATGATGACTGGTATAGTAAAATTTGTTATATATTTTTCCATTTTGATAGATTTTAATCTTTTAAAAAGATTAGCAAATTACATGAACATGTAAAAGATATGGATTTATATATCAAATAGCATTCATAATATAATTTACAAATGTTTTTCCAATTGTATTTTATACATCACCTATTCAACTAACTTTTTAGTCATAAAAAAAATCAATAATTTCATTGTAAAATTAATTGTAATGATTGTATTCAATATAGTATTGAGAATGTAAAAATTAATTTGAATTGTTTATTAAAATATTAAAAGCAATTAAAGTATTTGTATTTTAAATTAAAGCTGAAGTATATAAATTTATTTTTTCAATAAAACTAAATTTAACTTATAAAAAGCTCAAAACTTTTAATATTTCTAATTGTCTTTTAATCTGTTATCAATCTTTTTCCAGTTTTCAGACTTTTCTTATATAATAACTTTTATCTCTTTATCATCATATTTTCTTAATGTAACTGTATTATAAAGGTTACTAAATTAATTATTTGTAGATTCTATACTTACAACATGTTTAGGAATTATATACTTAATATTTTTGTTAACTTGAATTAAAAGATAAAGCATTATAAGATTGTTAAATTAAAGAATAATCTAATTATAGAATTTTATTTAAAACTTTTGAATTATTTTGTCTTATTATGGTTAGATTTCACAATTTCACTTATTTTAATTATAATAATATAAGAAATAACCTTTTTATGTTATTTTTCTATAGTAATATATTTTAAGTTATTTATAAAAACCTTTAAAATCCTTCAATAAAACATATAAGAAACTTTTGAATATAAAAGTCTATATTTTAGCATTGTAACAAAAACTACAAAATTTATTTAATTAACTTTTGGAAACAATTTCTGATTTTTAATTTGATTTAAAATTTACATAAATAAAATATTGCAATTTTAAATATCTATGATAATTTTTATAAAATAAAAAAAAAGGTTATGATAAACAGATAATTAATTGACTTAGTTTAGCCTTAAATAAATAAATTTTAAAAATATTTTAAAAATAATTAAAGCTAATATAGCTAAAATAAAACTAGTTTAAAAATAACCTAAAAATTATTTTTAAAAAAAAATTTCTAATTATCATTATCAATGATTTCATTAAGTTATATAATTACATGTTTGTATTGCAATAATCACAGTATTATAGTAACAAATTATAAACTCTTAATTTTTTTTATTAAGCATCCTACTTTTACAAATTAGTAAAAATATAAATTTTGTATAAATAATAAACAATTTAGAAAATATTATTTTTAAATCTATTAATATGTAATAATAAAATTTTATATTATTAAATTTTAAGCAATATTATAATTATTTTAATATCAAAATGCCGTTTTCAGCTGATAACTATTTTTGGATTTCCATACCATGCTTGAATCATGTGAAAATTTCTTGTTTTTTTTTGAATTCTAGTCGCGAAACGAGAAAATTTATCAAAGGAGACTTATCTTTTCATCTCACTGATAACAACATTGATTCGATGTTGTTTTGCAGCCTTAGGTTTTTTTTTCACAGAAAAAAAAATTTTTTTTGATAAATGCAACCAATAATGTTGTTACAGAGAAACTTACAATATGGTGTTCTCATTTTCGAACAATTTTTATTAAAATAAATTTAAGATTTACGAAAAGAAAACGGACACATTGTGAATTCATGACATTCGCTTGGACCATTTTGTTGATATCAATTAATCAATGCAATCGACATGATACAATCCCTTTTTATCGATAACTTGGATGAAATAAAGTTCATCCGGGACTTCGGCATATTCCTTCTAAATGACGTTAAACGATGAACAAAGATTTCAAAATTAGATAACAATATATTGATCACAAAATAGGCTGAAAATTATTCAAATGTAACGATTAACTAACAAAATAGGAATGTTTTCTTTATGAACAACAATATAAAATTGTAATAATCAAAGGAGATCAATTCCAAAATTGTAAATGTAATATATATCTTATATAAAAAAATTTTTTCATTTAAATGAGTTATCAGAATAAAAAGGCAAAATTCCTCCTTTTTTTGCGAAATTTTGTTCAATTTTTTTTTTTGTTTAATCACTTTCAATTGAAATTTTTTAATTTCTTTTATATATATATAATATATATTAAAACCTCTTGTTTCCTTTAAAGATACACAATGGAATTCCTTGGTAAAAAATCCGGAAATAAAAATGCTGAACCATCAACTAATCCTCAAAAACCGACAAAACAGACTTCGTTAATATTAAATGCTGCGGGATTTGCATTTAATCAACCGAAATTCAATAGTCCAGGAATAAAATCTTTTTCAGAAATATTACATAACACAAAACCACATAACCAAACAATTGATGAAGGAAGTGATAGTTCCGATGATGATAAAGATGATGACGAAACCGTCGGAAGTGACTCATCTTCCACAACTAGGGTAGAACAAGTTAAACCAAAAATTGTACACCAAAACCAAAATGTAAATGATATTCAAACAAATAAAAAGCCACTTGCAAAAGTTTCAGCTGCGAATATTATTACGGATTTTAATAAATTTGAATTCGACTCTCAATTAAGAAAATTAGGTGGTAGAGCAGCAAACGTTCAATCTGATATTTCTCCTAGAAACATAAAGTCAAATTTAAACACTGAAAAAACTGTTAAATCTGATTTTGTAAGTGGACCAACCGCTTATCCAGCAAGGATTAAATCCAACCAAATGATGCCAGTTGAAGAACCAAACTATAATCGTTCAGATATTTGTTCGGATGTTTCTTGGGGGAGTGATCCAGGACAACAAAATCAACAACAACATCAACAACATCAACAACAACAACAACACCAACAACACCAACATCAACAATCGACTAATCCAACTGTAAAAGTTAATCCTAATTTTATTATAGGAAATCAAAATTTTCAACAAAATTATGCTACCCATTTTAAAAATATACCTAATAAAAATGAATGGGGTACAAAATCACTGGACTCTCGTTCCGAAATTATGTATAGTGGAACAGATAAAGTAGTTTCTTCTAGACATAATAATGTGGCTAGAAACCCAAGACTTAATCCAAATTTTCCTTCGGGGAATCCAAAAACCATGTCAGATGTAACCTATCAACCCAAAGAATTAAGGACAGATGTTTTACATTACAATGATCCTGAGTGTTTTTCTTACGGGGGAAATTCTCATCAACGTAAACCAACTGTTCCAGTAACTGCTCGCATTCCTTATTCAATTGATGAAAACGAACACAGCCACACTTATGCTAGAGATACAAATCAACAACATAAGCCTAGAGTTGTTGTTGAACCACAAAGAAAAGTTGTACTTTTTCCTCAGTTGGATGAAGAAGATGAGGAACAAGTGGAATCTGACGATAATGATACGGTACAAAATGCGGAAGAAGAAAGTGATAAAGAGATTGATGAATTATTGAATATGACTGAGGATGAAAGTATTCAAAGAAAGGTGATTGATAATTAATTATATTTTTAGTTAATATGTATTTAAAATATATATATATATTCAAAATTGTATTTTATTTTTTAGCTGCTTGAACTTCATCTTTCTAATAAAGATCTTGAAGTTATAAACAAATCGCTTGCGGAAAATATCAAAGAACAATCATTTGAACTTGAAAGTTGTCCTTCCTTTGATTCATTGTTAAAATCTCAGAATGAACAACTTGAACATATTACTAGCCTTGAAAATACAATAAAAAATTTAATTTCTAAACTATCAGATCAAGAAACTCAAATCAAAAAAATTAAAGATGAAAATAATGAAAGGTAAGTTTTAAAAAATAAAAAATTTTTTATTTCAAGAAAAATTATAAATAATTAACTAACTTCATTTTGGTACAAATAACAGTGACGAAAATAAAAAGGTTAGTTTATTTATAACATTTATATCGTATTTATTTTGAAAAATATTTTTATTAATATTAATTTATTTTAATTTTATTTAGACAAGAGTTACATTATTTTACGATCCAAGAAATCTTCCATTTAATACTTTACCAAAAATTATATTTGATAGAGGTAAAATTAATCATATCATAAATATTTCAAAAAAAATTTTTTTATATATATAAATATTTTCATACTAATGGTATCGTATTTATTATCTTTTGCTTTAATATATTTTTTTAATAGTATATGATGATGTGTTTATTCTTTATTTAACTATCAAATCCCTTCTTTATACGTTTTATATATTTCCATTGATAGTTTTATTTAGAGTTACAAGTAAAATATTAGATAAATCTAAAAATAAATTTATGGAAATTACTACTGAATAATTTTTTTTTTTTTAAAAAAAAAAAAAAAGAAAATATAAATATTCAGCTTAATATGTAAGAATTTTTTTTCCTGCTTACTAATAATAGAGAATAATAATGTTAATTTTCTCTATTAATTTTTTAAATAAATTGCAAAATTATAAGAGTAAATGAATATTTCTAAAATATATTTTTAAAAATTTTTTTAAATTTTAATTTATTTAAGAAAAAAAATAACCTTTCAATAATCTAAAATGATCTTGGAAATATAATTTGGCGTATTTATTTTTCAAGACAATTTTGCCTGCTGCGTCACACATTATCGCTCAGCCTAGTGGCTTTTGTTTAATAATAATAATTTCATTGGGCTTTTTTTTTAAAAGTTTAGTCTTGAGAGGCTAGATAGCTTAAAATGATTATCTTAAATGGCTGGAATAGACACGTAAGTTCAACTCGTGGCTTTTCAGTATTTTTATTATAAAATATATTTTCATAATGATAAAAGTGGATCATTTCATTTCATGTAAAAATTCAAATAACATGGAGAACCCTTTATTAGAGATATCACAAGCGAGCGATGATGACATTGAAATCTCGATTCAGAATCCCCAAGAAGAAGAATATTTATCAAGTAATGTAAAAGGTGATGAATTTGATAATTCGAAACCTCCACATCATGGAAAAGAGATATCGGAGTTGATCGTCTCATCAGATTTAAGTTACGTAGTAACATTCAGTCAGGAAGATTCATCAATCGTAGGATGGCCGATTAATGAACAAGATTTTGGAGAGCTTACTTATGATGCTGAATGTAAATCGGAAGAGATTACGGATATTTTACAAGTGTCAAATAACAGAGATGTTTTGTTACAAGTTTTTGACCATAATGCACTTCAAAAAACCTCTTACAAAATCATTGAATTAAATCCGAATGGGAATAAGATTCACGCCGTTACGGGAAATCCAAAAGTAGATGATGGAACTTTTGTGGCAGGAACAAATAATTTTTTTATGATATTTAGAGATATTGCGTCAGCTTATTTATATTCAAATAAGAAAAATCATGGGTGGGATATTGAAGAAATTTATAACTTTGCATTTCCAAAAGGGATCAATTGGGTTACAAGACGTGATGCATTAAAAGAATCTCGTAAAATTGGATATTTTTTAACGACAGAAAAATTATTTCTAACATACGGAGGATGTGGTATTTTAACACAATGGGATATAGCGACAATGACTTTTGAGAAACAATATTTTCTCGACGTCGAATTTGATAATTTACATCCATCAACCGCTACAGATATATCCTTACAAAATAATCCCATTAAAATTGAACAACAAATTTTATTTAACGATTCAAAAACTTTAATGGCGATTTATGGATTCAATACTTATAATATCGAACATCAAATTGTGATTTATTCTACACGTTCATGTATTCGTTACGCGTCATTCATGATGGATTATGAAGCGAACTCTGTGTTGAGATTAAATTTCATTGGAACGAATAAATTTGACGAAGGTTTATTGGCAAGAGAACGAGGATTTTTATTCGTTGAACCTTCTTATTACTTGAATGAATTTAATGGTGAAGTTACTCAAATCAATATCGAACAACTTTTCACATATCCACCGGATAATTCAGATGTTGAAGTTATTCTTAGTAGAGATTATGATAATAGAGTGATTTGTTGCTCACACGGAAAATTGATTCATTATAATATTAATAAAGATCAATTATGGAAATTTCAAGAAAAGTTGAACCGTCGAGACGATTCTCAACTATCACCCATTGTCGTTTTAAAAATTGTTTTAGAATTATTTAATCAAATTGAGAAAAGACAATATTCTTTCACAGAAAAGTCTTTTGAATTGCGCAATATCAAAATCCACTGGAAAGTCATTCATTATTCAGGAAGTGGAAGAACGCAACTTGTTGTTTATAAAAGAAAGCGAAAAATTGACGAGTACAGATTTTTTGAATCAAGAACTGGATATGTATACGCTTGCAAACCAATCTATAATGGTGATCTAATAATGATCACAAAGCAAGGAATTATGATATTTACAATTCATACAAATAACAATAAAATACAGATGCGCTACTTTTGGGATAATGATGATTGGCACAATTTATGGAAAGTATCGAGACAATTGTCAGGCGTTTATAACCTTGAAGACGAACAAGAACCATTTTTTGGAGCAACAGCTAAAAAGGAATTGACAGATAAAGAAATCCTTCCTCCATTGAATATTGAAAGAATTTTTGATGAATATGAAATAAGCTATATTTCAGGTGAGATTCAAGTGATGAATTTAAAATTTGAATCTGCGAATCTGTGTAATTTTAATTTTATTTACTTATTAGAACATACGAGAAGATTTCCGTTTAAGGAGGTCCTTTATAACTATTTAAGTGACGTTGTAACTTTTGCAGAAATAGGAGAAGGAATTTTTAAAATGGCAATTGAAATGAATAAAGGAAACATTGTGGATCTCATTTATGATTTAGTTATGGATAATCTTAGAAAAGATTCAGACCAATATATGGGATTGTTGAGTGTAATTTCATCATTTCTATCTCAATTACAGGTAGATTATCCTGAAGTTGTAAGGAGTTATATATCGCATACTTCTTTAATATTGGATCATAATTGTGTCGAAATTCTTGTTTCCGATATTCCTCCCTTCCATGGGTTTACCAGAGATCAACATGTTTTCAAGAACAATTTTTTTCCCATATATTTTAAAATTTACAATTTTTATGGAAGATTTCGTAATATAACTAGAATATTTTTTAGGAAAAGGAGAATTCAAAAAGTTCAAAATTATGGTAAATCTTCAATAGTTTTGGTTGTTCCATTACCAAAATTTGCTTGTTACAATACAGAATATAGTTTTCTAAAAGACCTTATTAGACCAGAAACAAATGGATTTATTGAAGTATATCAAGATTTATATAAAGGCTGGAATGGTGAAGCTCTTTTAAATTTTAAATGGAATTCCTTTGGAAAATATTATTATTATGCGATATGGGCTTGGTTCACTACATTTTTACTTATATTTGCGATAGCTTCCACTTTACCTTTATCGGATTCTCTCAGAAGAACACTATTAATTGCTGTCATTTGGTTTGGATTATTACCTTTAAGCATTGAGATACGCCAGTTCATTTGGAGGCCACGTACCTACTTCTATGATTTATGGAATATATTCGATATTGGTGCAAGTTGTTTCCCAATAATCACGTCAATTTATTGGCTTCAATTTGGTTATCCACCAGGAAGATGGGCTCCAGCTATTTCTAATTTGCTTCTCGATTTTAAATTCCTTTTATATTTTCGCATTTTTGAATCATTTGGACGTTATTTCGCAATTATTCTTGGTGTTGCACATAAAGTATTTTCTTTTCTTATGATATTGTTTATTATTGTCGTGAGTTTTGCTCATGCATTTTATATCATGTTGGGAACGGAACAAACATTCTCTTTGGGTAATCCAACGGTTAATGATGATCCAAATAATCCGTGGAATTTAACAGATAAATTTTATGTAACGAACCCCGATGGTTCTTTAAGTGAAACATCGGTACTTGTAAAACAACCCGATGCAAATACAAATATGTTTTCTTGGCCACAAACCGCTTTACTGGCAATGTATTTGTTTCTTACAGGTATCCTAAAAGAAAAAAATATATTTTTGATATTTTTTGTTTTAAAAAAAGTTATTTATAAATAATGTATATATATTTTTAGGCGACAGTGGTTCTTTGCAATCGTGGACTTACTTGGATAATCCGATCATGACACTTTTAATTGTCGCATTTTCTTTCTTTACCGTGATTTACTTGATGAATTTATTCATCGGATTACTCAATTTTGCAATTGAAGATTATAATGACCGTGTTTCCTACTTGATTCAAAAAGCAAAGGTATATATTAATTGTATAAACATTATCATCATTTCTTTTGATTTTTATTTTTATTATTTTTTTTTTTTAAAAAAAAAATCATTATCAAATAAATATATATGAAGATTTTAGCGGAAATCGAACTATTTTATTTAACGCCATCACAAAGACGTTGGAGAATATGGTTTCCGGATTGGATGTAAGGTTATACAGTATACTATTAATGAGGAATATTTTATCTGAAATTTTTTTTTTTTTTGACCTTTCGTTATTTTTATTTTATTTTATTTAGTTATTATGAAGTTCCTGTTGATTATGTGCGTAAAAGAATTAGGTGTATTGATGCAAGAGAAGAAGATTCAGAATTTCCTCCTATTATTAGTCAAAGGTTAAGAAATTTAGTAGATATACATAAACCAACTGATGAGAAAGATTTATCTGATCAAATTGGAATCATACAAAATTTCTTGGATAACCAATTTCAAGAATTTAAAAAGCAAAAATAATAAAATTTGATTTTAATCTTCGATTGGAAATGTTTATTGACACAAGGGTTATGACGAATAGATAATTAAGAATAATATCTACCTATGCTACCAATGAATCAGATTAGGTAAGTAGAAATAGTAGAAGTATCAATGAATTTGGGCATTGTTTCTGCGATAACCTTAATTGCTTATTATATCCTCTTGAGACGAATGTTGAAATTCCTAAATATTATTAAGACTCGGAGGTTAGAATAAACCTGTATAATATAGTTTCGAATGTATGTAGTATGGTTCAGTAGAGTAGGATTAACCAAATGATGGTATATTAAAATTGATGTTATGACGTTCATATTAAATAGCCTTTGATTCGTCAGAAATTAGCATCGATTTATCTAGATCGGATTGCTCAGATCGGTAAAATCAATAACCAATAAAATTGTAAAGTATAATTTTTTGATCAGATCGTTTCATTAGATTTAGGAGCTGAATTTGAAGATGACGCATCTTCAAGAGAAGAAGATAAATATAATTTTACAAACTGTTTTAATACAAAGTTCAAACACATGATATTTAAACCCCCGAATGTACTATGTAGCTAAATCAAAAGACTGGTGGCAAAATATTCTTCCACTTTATGATCCTATTCGATTCAATATACTTTTGCATTATTTTCAACAATTAGCTAACCTTATATGCCCTCATCCTGTATTTTTGTCTCAAGAAAATAAACCTCAAATTTGTGTTGAACTTCAATTAGCTGTATTTCTTTGTTAACTTGATTCTACTGAAAGTTTGTTTGAAGTTTGTTCATGATTTGGAATAGGCGAAGGAATAGTAATTCTTTATACTAAACAAGTTATTCAAGCAATTATGCCACAAAAAGAAACTTTGTTAAGTAGCCTACTTTGAAAGAACATAAAAAAGTTCACAAAGGATTTGAAGATTTAGGAGGGTTAAAAAATGTAATTGAAGCAGTTGATGAAACACATATTTTTATGAAAAATGCTTCAAACAAAGATCCAGAAGTTTATTTTATTTGAAAAAAATGTTATGCTATTCATGTTAAGGTATTGTAAAATGGCAGAGGATTTTTACTAGTTTTGATATAGGTTGTTCTGTTTTAATACATAATGCTTAAGTTTTTAAAAATTCTTCTTTTTATAAAGATTATTCTAATCTTATTCAAGGGAATGATTATCTTTTAAGTGATTCTTGTATATCCTATTTCTCACTTTTTAATTTCATATTTTAAAGATCCAAATTTTCAAAAACAAAATGATTTTAACTGTTTTTATTTATCTAATAGAAAATACTTTTAGAAGATTAAAAATAAGATTTGAGATATTAAGGAATCTTGATATTAAAACAGTTAAAATAGGAGTTTTATTTACATTATTTTACATAATTTCTTAAAAATTAATATGGATATTTAGGAAATCTTTTAATGATAATATAGATTATAAAAATGATGATATATTAAAAAGAGTTTGACAAGTTAAAAGAAATTTGATTTTATCAACATTTTTTGTAAATAAAATTGTATGTTTTATAATATAATAAAATTTCTGAAGTTTAATACATTTATAATATTTTTTATCCTTTAAAATTGTAGAGCAGGCAAATTTGCTTACGAAGTTAAAAAGAAAATGTTAATTGCTTTATAAAATATAAAATATTAATTTTAGTAATATTATTATTATATAAAAAAATAGTTTAATATATATTTTATCAATATTATTAATAAAGATTTTAAGTTTTTTAAAAGATTTTTAAAATAATTTATTTTAAAATTAAGTTTCAAACAATTTCTTATAATAATTTTTATAAAATTCTTTAAAAATTAATATGTTTGCATATTAATTAAATCATTTTATCATTATTTAAAATCATAAAATTTCTTAATAAATTATAAAAATTATAATAATAAAGTTTTTCTTTATAAGTAATTTTATAATATTCTATTATGATTAATATAGTTAAAATAGTTAAAATCAAATTCTAAAAAGTTTATTATAGTTTAATCATAAAAATTTTTAAAATAAATTTTTCTTAAAAATTACAAATTTTAGCTTTTAAGTAACATTACATTTTTTATTATATAATTAAAAATAAAACTTATTATAATATATTACATATTTATATAATTAATTTAAAAAAAAAAATATTAATTATTTATAAAAGTAAATCAGAAAAGAATTTATAGTAAATAAGCAGGCAAATTTGCCTGCGAAACCCTACAATCTAAGGGTTATAATGTTATCAAATTGAAATAATAAATTGAGAGAAGGAACTTGTAAGTAATTGATTGAGATTATATGTGATTGTGTTTCTAATCTAGTAAGATTATCAGTTATATTATTATAAATATCGCTACTATGTTCTTTTACTTTGATGAATGTAATATTGAGGTCAAGTAGATCTACAATATATTTGATTGTCTTCCAAAAAGTATAATTAGACACTTTTTCAAATGTTTGGATAGAAAAATTATTGTTGATAATATTAAAGCTAAATCCATGTATTGTAGCCATACTGTCAGTGTAAATAGTTATATTAAAAATATTGAAAAAAACAATCAATGCAGTGAGAAGTGCAAAGATTTCAACTCTAGTTGATAAAACCCAATTAATTACAAAGGCACAAAATGAGAGTTGTTGATTCAAACAGATCCATCCTATACCCATTTTACATTGGTCTATAGTGGAATAAATCAATGAACTATTTGTATAAAAAGATAGAGAAGTAGCAAAGGAAAAAGAAATAGCTATCTCAGAAAAAAGATCAATATATTAAAATTCGTTAATGAATTGAAATATTAATAATGACATAATTCTATTTGCTGGGATAAAGGTGTGATCAAAGATGCTTTTCTTTTTGCACAAAATGCAAGTTCGAATGAGAACAGATAAGGAGAATTTTTTCAATGTAACTTTCTGATGTTATTTTTTTCCTATTATATCTATTTTGATAAGATTTTGAAGTGGAACTTTAGAGATACATTTTTTGTACCATTTAAAGAACAATCAGAGCATTTAACAAGGCTTTCAAGTTCTATATTATTTATAATTAAATCAAAGTGGTGAATATCAGCTATTTTTATATGAGGATGTTTTTGAGTAACCTATCCATAAATATTAGTATTAGTGTGCAGATTCCAGAAGGTGACATATTATATTCTCTTCTAGTGTTAAAGAGATTTATATCTAGATCATAAAGCGAACTAAAAAAATAATTATCAGCTAATTTATATTCTAATTTAAGAAATCTATCTAAAGGATTTTAGACAATGAGATTAAAAATTAGTCTATCTAAGATAGAAGAATCTATTCTAGCAGATTTTGATAATAAAATAGGAAGCTGATATCTGACATCTTTTCAATTAATAAGATGGTAACTATCTAGTGAAATTAATTGGTCCTATAAATAATCTGTATAAGAAAAGTATACAGAAATAATACGTTTAAAAAATATATAATAAACGTAGAAAAACATTTGTAAATATTTCTGTATACTAGATACTGAAAATCAACTTTTTCTATATGCAAAAAAATACAGAATATATACGTCTAATCAGTATATTGTATATGTAATTTTACATAGATTTTATATGTCTAATTAGTATATTGTATATGTTATATTTGATTAGTATTTTTGTATATTAAATACTGAAAATTGACTTTTTCTGTATGCAAAAAAATACAGAAGTTATGTTTAATCAGTATATTATATACATAATTTTGGTTGGATTTTTTACATCTAATTAGTATATTATATACATTATTTTTGGTTGGATTTTAACATATAAATATTAAATTATATACGTAATTTTGATTGCAATTTTTATATATTAATCATTAAATAAATATAATTTTTGAAATTAAAAATTTTTTTTTAAAAAAAAAATAAAATAAAAATAAAAAAATGAAATTTTATTTATTCTATATAAATTAATTAATTATAATATTAAATAAGAGTTTTACAATTAAAATTAAAATTTAAATATAAAATATAAAATATTTATCTGATTCTTCTAAATCAGAATGATAAATCTTCTGATTTCTTAATTTTTCTAAATTATTATTATATTATATTATATTATATATATTATTTCATAATATAATATTAAAAATAAATATAAAAATTACTTTTTTTCAAATATTGGTAACAGCTTTGATGGCGGCAACTTTGGGGGTAGCAGCAACTTTTTTTGTAGCAAGATTGGTAGTGGTAATAGAGGTGAAGACAGCAGCAACTTTGGAGGCAATGGCAACTTTAAAGGCAGCAGCAACTTTGGGCAGTGGCAGCTTTGGAGACAGCAGCAACTTTAGGGCAGCGGCAACTTTGGAGGCAGCAGCAGCTACTTTCATATATTAATATAAAGGAGAATATTAAAGAGGGAAATATATTTAATTAATAGAGTATCCAGGTTTGTTTGCAGACTAACCTGCAGACATTCTTTAATAGGAATATTTTTTAACAAAAATTCTTGAATATAAAAATTAACAGGAAAAAAATCATTTTTTCTTCTTTCTAAAAATTATAAAAAAAAGTGAATCATTATAAAATATATGAAATTTGATACAGAATCATAAAAAATATATCATTACCTTATTTGAATTTCTTATAAGAAATAATATATATAATTCAGCTCGAATTGAAAAAGACTAATTTAAAGTGGGGTATTAAACTAATAGTAAGATGAAGATTCATTAATACAGATCTATTTATAATCTATAGAAAAGTTTTCAAATTTAGCATTAATAAAAGATTAATTAGTTTAAAAGGTTAAAATAATAAAATAAAATAATTTGTTTTGAATATCTTTAAGTATAACAGAATTTTTAGAAGGATTTAAAAATTTGTTAATTATATTTTTTATTGTTTTGCAATTTTTTCATTATATCAAATAAAAATTTATTATATATAGATTCATTTTATATATGCATTATTTATATACTTTAGTTTATTTATTACAAATCTTTAACTTGAAAAATTTTGTATAGCAAGATTTTTTCATATTTAAAAATCTGTTTTATACTAAAAATCAGTTATATTGTAAAATTTACTATATTAAGTGCATTGTAAAAAGAATTGACTACAGTCATACCTCTCTATAGTGAATTTTTATATAACGAATTTTTTGGACAACTATATTAAATTTACCCTCGTTATAATGAACTAGCCAATCAAATTCTTTAAAAAATTCACTATAGCTCTATAGCGAAGTTGAAGTTCAGGACATAAAATTCGTTATATCAAGGGTTGACTGTATACATTCTAAATATATCTAGTTTTAAATATACAAATTATTTAAAACTATTATATAGTTTAAATAATATTTTTTTAGAATCAGCTTACATTTGAATTAGTTTAATTATTTAATAAGTTATCAGGATTTAAAAATAAGATATATTATTAATAATTAATGAGATTTAGACTAATTGTATTTATAAGATATATTAAAAATATTACCAATAAAAATATGATTTTTATTTATAATAAATTATTCACATACATACTTAATTTACCTTAATTGTTTAAATCAGAGCTTTGAATTAGGTCAGGTTAACCTGTGACCTGGCCTGTCCTAACCTGAAAAATCCAGGTAAGGTAGACAAATTTTCAGATCAACATCAGATCAGGTTAACCAATCAAATTAAACGAAATAAAATATTTAAAAAAATTTTTTTATTCTTTTTTATTTTAAAACATTTTTAATTTTATTTAATATGCTTTCTTTTTATATTCTAATAAAGTTATTTGTACAATTACTTTATAATTTATTATATCAAAAAGTTAAATTTTAAATTATAAACATTTTTTGTAATTACATTGTTCAATAAATTAATTTTAATTTTTTTTTATCTGTTTAATTAATTCAAAGAGATATTTAAGCATTTTGGTCAAAGAAAATTAACTTTTTTATATTATTAATATTGCTTAGTAGATTTAAAAATATATGCATATAAAATTTTTATTATGATTAGATTAATAGTTGTAAAGTTATGAATGTTTTTCATATTTGTATTATCTCATGAAATATTTTTAATTTTTTTATTCGTTTAGTGACTTCAAAGAGCAATTTAAGCATTTTGGTCAAAGAAAATCAACTTTGGTACATAAATAAAGTTGTTCATTAAGTTTGAAAATATGTGTATATAAATTATTATTATGGTTGGATTAATGATTGTAAAGTTATACATGTTTTTCATATCTCATGAATTTTTTTATTTTTATTTTTGTATAGTAAATTCAAAGAGTAATTTAAGCATTTTGGTTAAGAGAAATCAATTTTGGTCATGTAAGTAAAGTTATTCAGCAGATTCAAAAATATATTTATATAATTATTATTATGATTAGATTAATAGTTGTAAAGTTATGCAAGTTTTTCATAATTGTATTATCTTACGAAATTATTTATTTTTATTTTTATCTGTATAGTGATTTTAAAAAGTAATTTAAGTATTTTAGTCAAAGGAAATTACTTTTGGTTACGTAAGTAAAGTTGTTTAGCAAGTTTGTAAATATGTGTTTATAAAATTTTATTATTACATGATTGGATTAATAGTTTGAAAGTAATGCACATTTTTCATAATTGTATTATCTCACAAATTTTTTTTATTTTTATTTTTTATCTGTATAGTGACTTTAAAGAGTAATTTAAGTATTTTGGTCAAAAAAAATCAACTTTGGTCATGTAAGTAAAGTTATTCAGATATATGTTATTACGTTCGATTTGTAACTCAAATAAAATTTACAAAATATTAATAATTCTAATAAAGGGTTACAAAGAATAAGTTTTAACTTGGTTAATTATACGCTTTATTAATAATATAATAAATTGTAAGTTCTCTATCTCGTAAAGTATAGAGACTTAATGAAAGTACAGTGATATTTATACATGTTTGATAATTATAAAATAAACTAAACTAAATATATTTATGAAAATAAAATGACATCGTCTAGGAAATGAAGTTTTAATTAATAGTTATAAAGTTATGAACATTTTTCATAATATATTAGCAGTTATTTGATTTACAGATTTATCACAACTTGTAATTTTAAATTCTGCAATTAAAATAATTATATTAATTAGTATCTTTTTTTTTGAAAAATAATCAAATATAAAAATGTATCAATATTTTTTTTATATTTTTTTAAAAAATATTAAAAAAATTAATAATTGTTTAGTTTTCTTTTTTAGACGAGTTAGGTTAGGTCAGATTGGATCAAATGTATATTTAATTCAGGTCAGTTTTATGTCTAATCTGATCTGACCTTATCAAATTAGGTTAAGTCGATTACCTGATTTGATCTGACCTGTTTGGAGCTTTAGTTTAAATTTATTTTTGAATTTTATTTTTTTTGTTTAAAAAAATGCCATCTTATTTTAAATAAAATAATTCCTAAAAGACTTGATTCTATGTTTAACAATTATTAAAAAAATTTTCAAGAAAATATTAGTGTTATATGAATTTTACAGAAAGAATATTAATAAAAAATTAGTAAAATATATAATTAAAAAAATATAAATTTCATAGAAGAATTCTAAGAGTATTTTAGAATAATTGAATAAATTAGATTAACTATTAAAATTAATTTTATTTAATAAAATCAGTTATATATGATATATTATATAAAAATTCGTCAAACTGATTGATATTTTTGATAAGTTTAAGTATTATGCATCAGATTTATTTGATCTTGAATTAGTCTGATCCATTTTTATATTTTGCTTATTTTCATTTTTTCGCTTATTTTTATTATTTTTATTATTTTTATTAAATTTATTAAATTCATCATAATTATTTTCTAAATATGTATTATATACTGTATTATATTTATTATAACTTATATATTAATATTTATAGTTATAAATTTAGTTAGTTTATAGTATAGTAACTAGCAAGATATATTAATATTATATAAATAGAATAACTTTTTACTTAAATTATAAATTATTTGTTTTATAAATTTTAAGTAATAAATAAATAAAGAAATCAACTTTTAAAATACAATTACTTTTTCCTTTACATGAATTTCATTTAGGATTTGATTGTGACTACTACACTAACTTATTTTGAGTTTATCACTAAAAAATGAATAATTACTTAAGTTTTTCTAAGTTCTAAAACCCTTAAATTTATAAATTTAAGTAAAATAATTCTAAGAAATTTCAAATACCTGTAAGATATGAGATTCTTTAAAATTATAAAGTTTGACAATAAGGAATTTACTTATTGCAATATAGTAACTTAAATGAAATATGAGAGAATTATTTCTGGTTAATACCAGTAATTAATTATGTTCTTAAGACTAATTACTTTAATTATGTACTTTATATACTTAATAAAGATAATTATCATCCTATATATAATTATAATATTTATTATAATAAAATTATTAATAATTTTTATAAATTATAAAGCTAATTAATTATATTAATAATAATTTTAGATTATCTAACAGGTAAATTTGCTTATAAACTTAAAAAAAAAAGTATAATAAAATATAAAATGTTAATTTTAGTAATAACATTTTAATATAAGTTATTAAAAAGTTTTTTTTAAAATAGTTTAATTTTAAAATTATAATTTTTAATTTTTAATTTTTTAAATAAATAAAAAAATAAATAAATTTTATATAAACAAAAAAACAAATATAGTAATAATACTTTAAATTATATAGATATTATTATTTTTTATCATATTTTGTAGATTTATACAGATTTTTTTAAAAAATTTTAGCTTATAATTTAGATATTTTGTTAAACTCTTAGATTTTAAATCTTATTTTAATATTATATATAACTAATTATACTAACAATTTATTTATTATAATATTAATTATATATTTTAGTAATATAGATTAATTTTTTTTTTTTTTTTATAACTATTTCATAATAAACTTTTTGTCTTTAAAGTATTAGGCATGCCTATTCAATTCTGATTGAACGCGTTTTGATCGATAAATCCGTTATTTAATCCTTGCAGAATATGCAGAATTAAATTTGCTATGAAAAATAATCCATTGAAAATATCAATCATAACTTACTTGATTTATCATCAAAAAATTTTTTTATTTAAATTCTATAATACCAAATTTTCTAATTTCGAAATACAAAGAATATTTAATTTTTTTTTTTTTTTTTTTTTTTTTAAAAATACACAACTAATAAAATTCTAACACAGATTATCAATGATATAAGTGAGACTAGTTACAATTTTAAAAAACTATATCACAATCTTCTTCTTCAGCTTGCTTTAACAATTCTTTTAAATCACCACGTTCTTGTAAAATCGAAATATACTCTCGAATGAACGGTCCGTAATCAAATGTTTGTCGCTCCTTTTCAACCTAAAAAAAGAAAAACAAAAAAATAATTTTTTTTTCGATTCCATTATTTAATTCAAATACAAAATAATTTAATAAACAAAAAATTAAATGAATAATTCACCTTCTTCAATTTATTTTCACGTTCAATAGCTTTTTGTAAAACCCGAAGCTCATCAACCCAGTTTGTTCGTAGCTGTATGAGCTTATTGACATCGCCTCTATTGGAGTTGAGAATCTGAATTTCCTTTGTAACATTATCCCGCTTAGCAACTTCCATTTCTTCATCTTCAGTTAAGAAGACTTCGACAAACTTTATTTAAAAATTAAAAGAAAAAGTAACCGACATATCGTAAGCAAACCAAATAATCATATAATTCAAAATTTATTATATACCTCTGGTTCATTAACAAGAGCAACTCTCCACTCGCCATTTATTTCATCCAATACGGATTCAACAATTCTTTTGAGATATATGCATTCCTTGATTCTCATTTGCTTTATATTTATTGGATCTTTTGTTATTGCTAATAGAACAAAATTGATTTGTTCTGCATAGAATCTATAAAATAAATAAGAAAAAAAGAAAGATTTAATTATATAGCCCAAGTCGATTTTAATAGTTATGCGATCAGTATATATTGATAATATACCCTCGTGTACGTGCTCGCATTGCATCTCGCGCCGCATCATACCATCTCTGTTTGTCTGAATATTTCCCTGAATAAAGGTAAAGGATAAAAGAAATAAATATTCACTTGACAGAAAATTATCGAATGTCAGTAAACCTACCGACACTAACGGGGTGCGGATAAAGTCCATCTAATTGCCAAACTTCACCATCAACAGGAACATAAGCAATATAATGATAAACTTCGACAGATTCGTCTACCGTAGCACTAGGTTTTCCACTAGCTTCTTCTACAACTAAGGCCTCTTCAGGGTGTCTACCAAAATATTTAGTATAATTAGGGGCCATTATTAAAGAAGAGAAAGAAGAAAAGAAACGGAATGTAAACCTCGCCATTGAATTATGAATCAAGCGGAATGACGGATGATTCGTAATGGTAAAACCTTTAACCTAAATGATTAAATATAGATAATCAGTAAAGAATTGACTGCCTAACAAGGAGGTAAACAAGCATACTCCAAAGAACCTACGGGAGGTGGGAAATCCTTTGTGAATTCTTTGAATTCTCTCAAATCGGTGCCAATTTCCAATTGTGGACTATTCAAAGCTATATTCAACACCGCCAATGTTGCACAGGCATTATCAACGACCTAAAGTTACAAAAATAAAATATTAAACATTTCATTTAATCTATCATATAAATGAGCAAATGTAAGACCTGATTTGCGAAATAAACGTTCTTCGGGTTTTCGACAGGAGTATATTCATCAGATTTATATAAAGTTTTAACATCTCCCATCATCCTGAAAAGATACACAAAACCATATATCTCGCTAGAAAAAAAAAGGGAAAAAATTAAATAACAAAAAGGTCCATTAAATAAATAAAATACAATGATGCTCGCAAGTCTATAAGTCAAATGACCTACCCTAATTCATGAAAATTGTCTGTATCATCGAGTACAAAAACCTCTGTGGCCTGGGCACCTCTTACACCTAAATCATACATTAACGCGTTGAATAGTTCTAAAATTTGAACAAAGTGAATAATAATATTAAAATTGAAATAGTTTAATAATTTTCTTTTTTATTATTATCAAAAAAATAAATACTTGGTTCAGACTGCAATTTAACCCACGGTCCATTAATTCTTTGTTCGTGAGGCAATAAAAGTGAAGACATTGTGAAAATAAATTTATGCGAAAGAAATGGATTGTTACAACAACGGCAATATATTAATGGGGAACTTCCTAATTTAGCTTGAATTGTGCATTACGTAATTGACTTAATTTTTGGCCGGAATTAAGGCATTAAGAAATTAATTATGTGACGCCTATTTTTGGCATTATCGGCATCAAATTTGATTGGATGGTTATTGTTCGTTTCGAAAAGGATAACCCTCTTACCAAAATTAGGTCTGTAATTAATTTGGGGTGATACAATAAAATTTGTGCGTCCAGAAATATGTGGCGCAAATTTGCTCCATATCAGATATGTTATTTGCCACATATTTTATAGAAAATCACAAAATATGCGCTGCAACAAATATGATTGGCTGATCATTGTATATAGTATTGAAGCACAGTTTCTAATTTCAAAACAATTTGCATGATGTCTGAAAAATTAATTTCAGTATTGATTAATCGATTAATCCGATTAATCGTTCTCGAGATTCGATTTTCGATTTCTATCGATTAATCGATTCTTATCGAATTTTTGAATGAAGAAATTACTTTTGATCATAATTTAATCAGAACTAGGGAGTGGAATCAATTTTAAGCCATGGTTTTATTATTCTTTCTTTTTTTCTTACTTTTGGGGTTTGATTGTTTAATATTTTAAATTTTTTTTTTTATAATTAGTTTGATCGATGTGTTTATTTAGCGGTTTTTTTTAATTTTTATTTTATTCGAGCTGTCGATTTATTTATTTTTTTTTCACTTTATTTATTATCTTTTTTCTCAAATATGCAAAGGAATGTTTAAATTACGCTTGGTTTTCTTTATGTCACAATTTCTGCGCTACTAAAATAGTTTAGATTTTTTTATTCGAATTTTCATCGTTTATGGCCTAATTTACTAATTTAGATATTATTTCTTTTAATAAAATTTCCTTTTATTTAAGAGACAATAATTTTGACTTTTACAATTTAATCGAATCAAATCTTTTTTGATTCTTTATATAAACGGTTTAAATTTAAAGTAGAGAAATGATTTATTAATAATTTATTTTTAACGTTAAAAATTAAAATATTTTTACACTTAAATATTTCTTATTCAAAAATACAACATAATAATACATCTTGCAAAAGGAATAATAAAAATAACCAAAAGGAAGAAATAATAAAAAGGAAGTCGTTGTTTTATATAATATAAACAAATTTTATCTTTCGAATTTAATGACGTTTCTTCATTCGCTTTATACTTGCTCCTCCATATTCTTTATTATTTTTTGTGATTCCCACGTGTTTGCCATGTGGTGCACGACGTTGATTACCTTCGCAATTTCTTTTACTTAATGAATCTGTAGGGAAAAGGATACCATCGTCATAACAGTCGAGGTTTATTTCCTCGAAGGTGTAACTAAATGGATCAGTACTGCCATCATTATTAATTTGAACATTCAATTCATCCGTGAGATCATAGATGGTACGATTACAGCTATCAAGGATCTGAAATTTAACATCACTTGTATCATTGTTGAAGATTTCGAATCCATGAGAGAACATTCCAACTATAGTAGTGCTACCGCATTCATCTTGTGCGAAGAAAAAAAATCCTTCAAATACATCTTGGAAAATTGCTTCAGCGATAGTAGTTTGACATTGTTCGACGTTGTTTCTTTTGCTCAAAACATTTCTTGCAATCTCTGGACAAACGTAAACGTCGTCGGTTCTTTTTTCAAAGTGGCCTACTTGATCATCATAAATGGATAGAGCCGAAGCAGCAACGGACATTAAAGATAGAACGACAAATAAATGCAATTTTGCCATCGTAGTAATTTTTGTTTCTTGAACGTGAACTTGTTATATCGAATTTCGTTAATATAAGAACGTTTAAAACGCTTTTTTTAAATAATTGATATCTAATTTCGTTAAGGGAATTTTTTTATAAAGGAAGAACTTTTTATAAAAGTATAAATGTATTATCGAATTTCGATGAGGGAAGAACGTTTTGGACGCAATGTTTAAATACCTTTTTGAACTTCGATTTATGCTTAATCAAAAGAAGATTTCATTTACCGGAAACTTGACCTTATACGCCTAGATTATCACGACATTTTTTTTTTGAAAGAATCTCCAAACAAAAAAAAAAGAAATTCGGTGGCTTAACGCCTCATATGTTAAATGCAAGCCATAAAGATTTGCAAACTTCCATTAATGGAAAAAAAAAATGTTTGTTTTTTGACGATCGATTACTACATTTCTTTCAAAAAGAATAACTGATGATCTCAAGTGCAAGTTCGCAATTGCAAGAATCATACGTTTCTCTCACCGTCCACTTATCATTAAAATTTTCCTTAGGCTATATGCGGAAGAAAAAAATTCTATCAGGATTTTTAATTAGCTATGGTTTTTAGAATTCATCATTTGTTATTTTAGATATTCAATGTTTAGATGATAAAAAAACGAACGTTTTGAATCATCTGACGAGAAAAGGACAATGGTTTAATCAAAAGCGGTAATAAAACCTTTCAAGTAAAATGAAATAATCAAAAGAGCTTCATTGAATTTCAACTAATAAGTATTTCTTTTTTTTTCGAAATAATTTAAATCAAATAAGAAGTGCTTTATTTTAAAAATCAAATGAGGCTTTGTTTATAATTTGGTCATGGTGCTTTTATTTTATCGCATGGTAAAGAATTTCTTTCCGCAACATGCAACTTCCATTTTTGGGTATATTTTGAGCTGAAAATGATTATAAAATCTTTCTATTAACGTCTCTCTTTTTTTTTATGAATAATTTGATTGGAAAATTTGAAGTTTAAATTACCGTAAGATACAAATCATGAAGTTAATGAATTCTTTTAATAAATATATGTTCGTTTTTACAATTTTATCGATCATTATCTCCTTTGCGATATTACCAATAAAATCACAAAATATTTTTAAATATAATGATATACCCAATCCAAATTCCGACGTCGGTGACCCCAATATAATTCGTATAGTTAATTTTGAAGATAATAGGATAGTCGTTCGTATAGTTCGTGCTGATTTATCATATCCTGATGAAGTAAATAAATTTTGGGTAGAAAAGTTACTGTCATTTCGCACGATTTATCCCGATGGTCATGTTGTACCAGTTGATATCAAATTGGATATACAAGATTTTAACTTTTGTCTTTACGACATTGATGGAGAATTTGCGAGTAGTATTGACATTTTTCCTATTAGAAGTAATTTTCTGTTAGTAACTTATGCGGAAGCTACGAATTTAACTGATCCTTTCACCTATAATGAAAGGGCGATGATTGTTGACTTAAATGGAAATATTTATGGGTTAGAAGAATTCAAATTAAATGTAAAATAAAATATATATCATTATTATTAATTTGCTCTTTTTATCATTATTATAGAAATATTTCGTTTGGTAACGCCTTTGTTGAAAATGACACTAATCAATGGTTACCTAACGCGTCTGGAATTTTTGTAAATTTTAATCCTGACATGGGATTTATCCGTATGGGACCTATAACAAACAGTTCAAATGCTTACTGGCAACAATACATGGTGTAAGTTATCATATGAATAATAGTGCATTTTTTATGAAATGCTTTTGAAAAAATGACTTAATTATTTTTTATTTATTTTGTTATGAAGTACTGAGAAGGGAGAAATTTATTTACTTGCAAATGATATCTTAGAATTTCCAAATTATCGTAGTCTTCAAGGTCAAGTCATCCCCATGGTGGACAATAGATACGCATTTGTTTATGCTAATTCCACGCTTTCTGGAGCCTCACTTGATAATCCTTTTACTGCACAAGGAGGGGTCTATATCATAATTTTTGAAAATGGCCAAGTAACCAAACGAGAACCAGCTGTTCTTTACCAAACCCAGATTCAAGGATTGGTTTTTACTGATGTTGATTGCAGTGTTTCTTATGTAGGGGTGGGTCAAACGTGTATAGTAACGGGCGAATTTGCAAGTCGAACAATTATGAAAGACTTTTATCTTAAGATAGATTTTCTTTCAACAGGAACCGTATATGATGTTAAACCATTGAATAATACTTTCCAAATGGACCCAATTTATGAACAATTTATTATTCGTTCATTGCCATATGGGGGTTATTTATTAAACGGATTTGCATTGATTGGAGATGACCTTAGAATTATTGGTTATATCTTTAATGATAATGGTGAACTTTATGTTTGGGACTTACCAAATCCTACCGTGACAAATGTGAAAGCAAATTCGGCATTGTTGAGAAATAACACTTATGTGATTGCTCGACCAGAAGGAATTCAAAATTGGACTTTGTACACCACTGAATTATATAAGTTTGAAAGAGACCTAGGTACGTTAAAAAAAAGAACCTTCAATTAAAAATAAAAGAAATTTTAACTTTTCTTTTATAAATATTTTAGATCATGGATATAACAATTTTCATATCGACATTACTTATCCAACCATTGATGATGTCATTACAACTAATACAGAGTCCCTTACAATTAAATATTATAATGAAGTTGATTTATCGATTGGTCAAATTAAAATATTTCAAGAAGATGGTAAGATGCGTCAAGCCATTCCTGGAAACAACGGCGAATTTGTATCTTATAGCGAAGGTGGAAATTTAACTACTGTTAATATCAAAGTACTTGATTCCACATTCAATCAACTTGGTAAAAAGTACTATGTTTCAATTGATAATAATTTTGTAAGGAGTCGAGTTTACCAAGAGGCTCTATTTGGTGTTAAAGAAAATATTTGGACTTTTACGACAAGTAAGTGCTTATAACATTTTTAAGTGAAATCAAAACACTTTAGTATTATTATCATTTTTCAATATGTTATTTAATCATTTTTTTTCAAAATAGAGCCAGGATTAGAAATATTTTCAGACAGCATTAGGGGACAAGTTCGATTGACTCCGGATGGGACCAAATATTTTGATGGTCTTAACAAGATCGAACGCGAAGATTTTCTTAAGAAATTAAGTCAAGAATTAGCTGCTGCAATTCCCGTCAGTTCTAATCGTGTAATTTCCAATGAAAGGGTTGAAACAGACATTAGGGCCAATCAAAGGCAAATCTTTTTGCCTATTGACATTGAAAAAGATGAAACAAGAAAAGAAAGAACAGTTAGTAATGCAATTGTAGATTTAGATTTTTTGATCAAGAATAAATTTATCACTGTTATTGCATCAGGTGAAACTGCAAAATATTTAGATGAAACTTATGGATATCAAACGCTTCGTAAGAATTTATTCTTAATTATCATATGGGCAAGAGAAAATTTTCTCAATAAAAAAAAAAAAATTTCTAAATTTTTATTAACACGAAAACAGCTAGTCAGTGGTTATCTTTTAAAGGGGCTATCATTGGAGGACCAATATTCATAATTTTATTGGTAGCCATTTACATAACCGCCGTGATATCCGAAAAAAATTTTAATAAAAAAGAAGAGGAGGTAAATAACACGATTTTAAATTTAATTAATTATAATAATAATAATATGTTTTTTACACATATTTAGGCAAATTCCCAAACCAATGCAAACTTCGCAAATACCACAAATGATGAAAAATCGAACATGATTGATGTAAATGTCACGAATATAATTTTAATTTTAAAAAAAAAACATAAAATAATTTTTTTTTTTATTATATTAGGTAAATTCCAAAACCGATAAAAAAGAAATAATTACTGATGAAAACAACAACGAGTCTAATACCAAATATGATGAAAAACCGAATATTATTGATGTAAATGTCACGAATATAATTTTATTTCAAAAAAAAACATAAATAATTTTTTTATTATTATTTTTAGGCAAAAAACTTGAGAGTATTCAAACTTGGTATTCTTATTTTTGATATCGTTTTTGATGTGCTTTTTGTTGTTACAAAAGCCAAGAACGTTGACGGAATATTTATTCCAAGGTAACTAACTAATTGCTTCACTAAATTATATTAATAAAATAAATAATATTCACGATAATTATGTTTCTTCCAGTCTTGTATTTTTGGTAGGTCCATTTGTCATAAGTTCAATTATTGCGATGATCATCCTTAACAAAGAAAAAGGAGCGAGATATTTGGATTGGTCAAAAGATAATACTATGGTTGCAGCAATATTTTCAATTTTAGCGGGATCTAACATTGAAATTTTAAATGTGCTTGAATCAAGAATAAAAATTGGAAACTTTAATCTTTTTAATGCCGAATTTTCTGAATTAACATTAAGAAGAATGACTTGGTGGTCTTGCTTTAACGTTATTTGTGAAGATATACCTCAATTGATTATTCAGGTTTGTCTGCATATCATAGCTTTGAATTTATTGTAATAATATTTTTTTAAATATTTTAATAATTTTTTTGATAAAAATTTAAATAGATTATATATTCTAGAAAAGTGGTTACTTACGACAATATACCTTTGCTTACGCTTATATCGTCCTGTATAAGTATGCTTAGTAACATCCTTGGAAAAGTATATAAATATACATATCATAGAAAAACATTTTATTCCATTGACAACAAATCTAGAGAAAGGACTAAAGAAACGGCTAAAATAGCTAATGAAAAATTTAAAAGATTTGGTGATAAGACTGGTGACAATTTAGATGAAATGGGTGAAATGTCTGGTGCCAAGTATAATGAAAATTATAAGGTTTAATTTTGGTGAAATTTTTTTCATGTATATATACTTTATTTTTTTAACCAATAAAAATTTAAAATATTATAGTTTAAACGTTGTTTTATAAAAAAAAAAAAAATCTAATTCAAATAACAATTATGTTACATACCATACTTTATATATGTATGAAAAATAAATAAATTTTTTTTTCCCAACACCGAAAAGTAAACAAAATATTTCAAAAAATGTTTCCATTATCACATTGACAATTTGAACAATACCTCGTATTTCTTTGTAAATTATGTAAAAAATGAATTTATGAAAGCGGACTGTAATCAAACCTCTTCCGGATTAAGGGATGGGCCTATGTTTGACGACTCCGACAAATATTAAATTACAGTAAAACTCAATGCAAAATGCAAGCATGGGGTGGATATCAATATTATTCATGAATTAGCTTCTGAAATAGGTTATAGACTGTAGCAACAAATATTTATAGCCAAAGAATTATAATTTAAAGATTGGAAGCATTAAAAGCACAATGAATTGTTTTTAATTTTCTTGGATTAGTTCAATATAAAATTTTCATTATATTTATCCATGGAATAGATTTCTTTCTCCAAAATTATTGATTTTAAATCAAAATAGCAAAAGCATCAAATTAGAGGGAAGCGTGCGTCGGTTGTATGTTTGGCAAAAGTCTTTTTACCGGTATGAGGGAAAAAAAGAGAAGGTTGTCCTAAATAGAGGTAAATTCATAAATAATAATATTTTCTCCATGTAATGATTATAATATTTTTGCTACAATTATTTAATTGTAATAATATCCAAGTGGATCTTTACCTAATGATTTTGCTCGGGAAAGTCATGAATACTTCGAACGGGTACGGCAATTGAATATTTTTTTAATTATCTTTTATCTACAGTTAATATTAACCTAATTATCATTATTATAGAGAGAGAGAGAGAGAGAGAGAGAGAGGCGGATGGAAAAAATTTTATAAATTAAGGTTCTGTCTAGTTTGAGGGATATTTGATAAAGTCCTTTGGAAAGGACTTATTTAAATTTCAACCCTGAGTTTTATCAAAAATGAATGAATACAAAAAAAGAAAAGCAGCTAAAAACTGTTTCTCCCTTTTTGTAAATGCATTTCTTAATCAAACTTGATACATCGTTAGTCAAATTTTTTGTTGGTAGAAAATCAAAGATTATTTATTGAAAATTTGAATGACACGACATCACATAATGCAAAATTTATTTTAATGGTGCGTTAAGTCCGGAGCATATTTATAACGAAAAAGACCAATCATGAATCGACCCAATTTTTGAGCGGGACATCTTGTGTCACCGGGCATAATAAGATCGCTGATTATCGATATATTCAAGGAAAACATTCTGAAATTATTCCTGAATGATTTTTTCAATTTTATAAAATGTTGTTGAATTCCGAGTCTTTCCATGTAACAAGTTTATAGTCAGTTTGTATTCAAGCAACATCTCCATTTTACTGAGGTAGAGGAAAAAAATTTCAAATAATAAAGTGGGAATGACGAACCAAATCCCTATTTATACAAGTTAATTATTAAGTTCATTAAACTTTTTGATCGTATTAAGAGGTATGGCGTATAAATTTTTTTTTTAAAAAAAATTATATTTATTAACGAATTTGATTTTATTTTAGTTTTGTTAACTACGACACTTAAATAACCAATAGTTTTGTCATCCGGAGAAATTGACTGCGTCTGAGTCATTTCTGACATTTCGGGGCTTCTGCTTTCTGGATGAATATTAATTCCAAAATTTCCATAATTTCCATGCATAAGCCGCGATTGATTGATAAATTTAGAATTGTATTCTTCCTCTTAAGATCTATTACAGAGCGCCGGCAGAGGCAGTAATAATTGAAATTCTTTGTATACTATAATAAAATCCTTTTTTTTTTACTATTGTTCCCCTATCGCAACTAACGTTTTCGTATACATCAAATACAATCACCTCTCGTGAAATTAGAAAGTGACAATATCACATGATTGATTGCCCGCTGCATTTTAAAAATATATTGTTACAATTCAAATGATATAAATGAGAATAAAATAAATTAATTATATTATTCATACCTTCTTTTATTAATTAATATCTTTTTTTGTCCTCAGAACTCTTAAAGCAATTTTATATTCTTAATCATATACATTTCTTTAAAAAAACTAATCTTTCTTTTAGAGGAGCTTCCCTCCGAAAGTCGGAAGGAAATCTTTTTTTTTTTATTTTTTAAAAAAAAGATATTAAGCGCGCTACCATTTTTAAACCACATGACAAATCATCGAATATTTTAGGGAGCGGAAAATTCTTAAGTATTTACGTATGTAATTTGACAATGTTAAATGAATGCAATATGAACATTCTTTAACTATCTATTTTTTACAATCAATAAGCATAAATGAACCGGGTTTAAGAGATGGGATTAAGATCAATTTTGTTTCTCTTCCTTTGCCTTGCCTTCCTTCTATCAGCCTTCCTGTCGAATGCTGAAATAATAATCATAATTTAAAGATTATTTATATCTTTTTTTTTAATAAAAATATAAAAAAAAAAAGACAAAGTCGGCGTCGAAACAAATACATAACTTTTAGTCAAAGGTTCAAATAAACTGCGGTTTAATCGAATACTAACCGAATTTTTAATAAAAATAAAAATATTAATCAAACTACTTTCCAATCGGTCGAAAGACTATTTTAAATTTAAATTTTTTAAAGGACAGAGGACAATGGCAAGTAGATCATTATTGAATAGACAATCAAAAAAAAAAATAACGCAAAACAAATCTAAATGTTGGATAATTTACACATCTCTTTTTCATTTATTTTATTTCCAAGAATATTGAATTGAAGAACTATCTCTTAAAAAAAAATCAAATACTAAATGTATTAACAATTTAGCTATTTTCAAGAGATTGCTTTTAACGCAAGAGATTGATTTGATTCGTACGATAGAATTTTCCAAAGTATCAGTACCATTTCTCAATTTTATAATGTCACTGTTAGACAACTTTGTCGTGAGGCATGTATTTCGGTCAATGAAACATTTACACATCAAAGCTGTTTTATATAAATGTTTTGAACCTCTGCGTAAAGTTGATTTCACAGAAATATTATCAGATTTTGTAGAAATAAAACTTAAAATCAAGTTATAAAATCTTCATAATGACGTTTATTGTACATTTCCTTATTTTTTTTAGAAAAAAAAAATAAATAAATAAAATAAAATTATAATAAAATCGTAATCGAATACGCTGATGACGAACACTCAAATTATTTAAAAAAATTTCGACAAACTTTCTTGAGATAACATGGCTAGTGTTTGGTAATTGTACATAATTTATTATGGATATTGATTATATTGCCGTTTAATAAACGATAAAATTTTTTTAAAGTATTATTTATTTGATGCAGCAACGAAACAAAAGATTTGAGGGTAATTCCTTATATAGATCCAAACATTTTTATTGGACAGGAAAAATGACGATGCATCACACTAAAAGAATATAATTGTCGTAACTAAAAAAAAATTATTATTTCTATCTTGATCAAATATTCTCTAGTGATCTATTACATATTCAAATGTTTTAGTTGCACTGTAATCAATACTTCAATGCCATTAAACATTTTACTATCGATACTTATTCTCAAAATCATATCAGATCACTACCCATCATTATATTTATGCATTAATAATATCATTTTAATATTTCATTAATTATTATTTAAGTAAAAAACTGATTAAATCAAATTATTATTCGGATCATTTGATGATACAAAAATAATTTTTTCAAACTTATGAAAATATAAATATCCATGTGCCTTTATTTATCCACTTTACAAATCTGCACAAACAAGCAAAAATAAAAATTAAAATATTAACGATTAAAATGGTCTGGGAATCCTTACTTGTTGCAACATCAACAATTCAACTACTTACAAGAATCCTCAAGGCTTTAGGAATTCGTAAGGATGGAATTACTCCCGGTAGTTTTATGGAGAGTATTGAAGATAGATGCGGAGGTAGGATATTTTCCTGGGTAGAATTTTTATGTGTTCGATTTGTGAGATACTTTGACCTGGTAAGAATTGTTAAAAGATAATTTTTTTTAATAAAAAAAAAGTTCAACAAATTTTGTTAATTTATTATTGAAAAATCATTTTCCAGGATAATATCATCCTTTCATTATTAAAGAAAGCTCCAATTATTGTAAAACTGTTGAAAAATGGAATGAAACGACTTTATTCTTTTATTAGAAATTGGTGGGGTTGATGTCATCCGCTTAAAAAGTTATCAAGCGTTTATGCATGTATTAATAATAATTGAAAAAAATTATGTAATAAACATTTTGAGGTTTTAAATTTATATTTGATCTTTGCTACTCTTTATAATAATGAGTTTTCATACATTGAATAGCAATTAATCTTGATTTACTAACCCGCTCTATAGTCATAATTTTTTTTAAATAATTCTTAACTCACAATATGTGTACTATAATGTTTTAGCCGTTTAATTTTTTTTAGAAGTTTCAATTTGAAATTTTTTTGGAACGTTTTACGACTCGCTGATACGTATATCATTACGCATTAATCGTATTACAACCGAAATACATGTAATTAGGTGATTTCGATAGTATTTTACCAAAATATAACAATTTTACTGAATTAAATTTCTTTGGTAAAAGTATTTTAGGACATATGCGGACTAAAAGTTTATTATGCAAGATTACAAATTATAAAATCCCTTTATTTATGTTTGATATTATTATAAATTATATATAGGGGATTTTGAACTCCTGAAGCGAAATTTTGTAATAGTCATCAATTAAACGAATACTCACGTTAAATTATTTTTTTGACGAATAATGCATCAAAGCAAATGCAAACAAAATTGGAGCAAAGTATAAATTAAAATGAATTGAATGTAAAAAAAGAAAAAATCTTTCCGACGAAATCATAAAGCAAATAAAATCTTTAATACAATCGGAGACAAAATTATTAATGATGAAGCCGTGATCTGTGCTGCGGTTAAAGCGAATCACGTGTTATTAGACAAATAGTTAACTTATTTATATATACTTTTTTCATTATATTATTAGTTTATTTTATATAATTAGCATGTATTATTCCTTGAATTAAAAAATAACTCGAGATAGTTCAAAAAGGTATTTGTTTAAAAATATTTGTTATTCATTTACTATAACCTTTTTCCGTGACTTCATAAAGGCTATTTAATTCCAAGTACTGAATTAAATCATCCAAGTTTTATTTTCAGTACACCCGGCTAACAACGAGTTTTTCAAATATACAAAATTTAATCTCGTTCATAATGATGGGAAAGAATGGAGTTGTTCCAGAAATTTATGGGAACTTGTTTTCTTTAGAATTCTTTAATACTATAAGAAAAAAAATATTATAAAGAAATATTTTATTATTTGGTAATAAGAACGTGATTTTTTTTTTTTTTTTTGATAGCGGCGATCTGCAGGCACAACTATTAAAAATATTTCTTTTAATGTAATAAACATTAAAAAAATAAAAACTTTAATTTTAAAATCATTTTTTTTAGATCGTTTTTTCATTATTTTAGGTTTTTTTTTTTTTAGATTTACTTTTTTGTTTGTTTATACATCTGGAATTTTCGGGTAAGTTTTTTATTTTTTTTATTTTTTTCGTTAGTTTTATTTATGGTAAGTTTTATTGTTTATTCTTTTTTTTGTTTATTTCATCAAATTTTTTTTTAAATCCAATTTTTCGGTTCAAACCGCTCGATACTTTGTAAGATTTATTTTAGTTCATTTTCGTTGGTGGATTTTTTAATTTAGTTTTTTAGCATAAAGTTCACTACGTAAAGCATTAAGTTTATGAGTAGATCCACTTCCAGAGGTAAGGTCAATTGCTTCGCTTATTGTTTAATTATTATAATTAAAGTAGCGTAAGATAAAAAAAAAAAAGCTTGTACAAATTAGAATTGTACGATTTCACTGGTCAATTTGTGCATGTAAAACATATAAAAATTAGAAAATTTAAGGCTATAAAATATTTGCATTTTTTCTTTACGATTATCTCTGAACTTTTATATTATTCTACGGCTAATCAAATGAACTTTCAAAAAATAAACAAAAGGTTTCCTAGACTTAAGATGCACGAGCTACTTTAATTATTAAAAGTTGAAAAAAAATAAAAAATTTTTATATACATTTTTTCTATGTCGATGATTATAAAAAAAAATTTACATATAAAAAATTGAAATCGTATTACTGTTAAAAGTATTTCCAAATTTATTACATTTGAAAATAAACAATTTCTATCTTGTAAGATTAAAACCCATAAACTTATTTAGTTATTTTAGCGTGATTTATTGTAAATTTGTATTTGCATATACTTTTTTAATTATAAAATACCTTTAAGGAAATTTTTCCACGATTTAAAGTATAATCGTCATAAAATCATGCCAAATTTATTTTTATTATTGAAAATGCTGAATTTGAAATTTAGCTTGCTGCAAACCTGCCATTTGTACATAACAATCCGGCTGAACATCAATAACGGATACGAACGAGAAAAATAAACTATGTTTACAGTTCAATAAAAAAGAATTGCTTCTTTCTTTCTGCGAGTAAATGGATTAGGAAAAACATTTGTCTTTACTTTTCCACCCCAAATTCATTTATAATTTCCAAATTTATTTATTCCTTTGTTCGATCTAAGACACAAAAAAAATTATGCGAGACATTTTATACAAACTTACTTACTTAGGCATAGTTAAGGAGTATTTTTAGATAAAATATCAGATAAATTATCAACTATGCAAAGTTACGCCGATGTAACCCGTAGTTATGGTCCGTTCCATGCATAATGATTGTCATAATGCGGGCCAAAATCATTATAATTCGGGATAAGGTGCATATTTTTGGGGAAAACAATACTAATGCGTGAAATTCTCAATTTCGAACGGGGAGCCTAATAATCAAAATAATGTTCAAGTTATACAAAAAAAAAAGAAAGCCATAAACAAAAACTTTATCAAGGTGCATCATCTATATTTTGAATAAAAGTAAATTAGGAAAAATTGAATAATTGCAGAATAGAAAATAAAGGGACAATAATAGTACGAGATGTAGTTTAGAAACTTTCATATTCAGCAAAAAGTATAAAATAGCAACCAAACTTTATCATCGCTCTTACTTTCTAACGAAATCATCATGCTACCAAAATTCCATTTCATTTTTATTATAGCGTTAGTTCTTATTTCAACGCTTGCTATAGTTGTTCAAAGTAAAAATTATTTAATATAAATTTTCCATTTATTTTCATGATCTAATGATCTGTTTCTAATTACTAACTAATTTTAAAATCCATTTGTCCATTTTCTAAATCTTACAGGCCGTAAGTTATATTTCTTTTTTTTAAAAAAAAAATTGGTGAAAGAAAACCGTAAGTTTCTCATTATGAATTGTCCCATCTTTGGTATCTTTGGTATACATTCTAGGAGAGAGCAAGAAAGATAAAACTCGCCGGCTAAAGAGGGGTCCAGATAATGAAAGATTTAATGCCCATCTGAAATCTTATTATTACTTTGATTACGTTAAAAGGTGATCAGCATATCGTTAAAGATAATTTCATTTCATTCAATCAATGAACCGGTTTATATTTATATCGATTCCATTTTCAGGCTTAAAGATGATAATACAGATATATTTCCTCGAGATACTCCGACGGAAAATCCAAGTAAAATATCTCCTACTTGGTTTATATTGTTTGGATTCTCTTTAATGAAATAATTACTGACGTACCTTTTTATTAGAAATTTGCATTATCGGTGCCGGATTAGCCGGTATATTAATTTACTTTATTAATGCTTGGATGAATTGTTTCACATTGTACACTACCTCATCACATTTATATTCCATCAGGTTTATTCTCGGCTCTTCTCTTGAAAGAGGCAGGAATCAAGGACATTACCATTCTTGAATATCAAGATCGCGTTGGTGGACGAGTTCATACTCATTACTTTACCGATGACCCTGATGACGAAAGACGTTTATACGGTGAAATTGGTGCAATGAGATTACCTTACGTTGAAGGCCGTCCCGAACTTTCCCCCCATCAATTAGTTTTTGATACTATTGATTACTTGAACGAGTACAATAAGGATGACGATAAGAAGCAGATCACAACTATCCCCTTTATATTTAGTGATTCAAAGTTTGTAGTTGATAATTTTTTCCTTAGTATTTTTTTATAATTATTATAATGCTAATCTTTTGATATTCAATCTTAAATATCTCTTTTAAAGTGCCATATATTATTTTAACAACAAAAAAGATCATACTGGTAAATTGATGACCAAAAATTATTCTGCGACAGTAGAAGTCAGTCAGCTAGGATACCCTGATACTATGCCATCCAACTTTCTCGATCTTTGGAATGAAGCATTACAGCCCTTCTTTGATGTCTTAAATACCGATTTCACAAAAGGACTTAAAATGTTAAAACGTTACGATCAACATTCCATCTATTCTTATCTAAAGGAAGTCTTTCTTCCCGCACGATTACCGAAACAAGCGGAAGATTATGATGAAATTATAAGTGCTATTGAATTGCAAATAGCGGGCATAGGCATGAATTACATAATTATTTTATTTTGACATTTTAACTGTCCATACTGGTAAGTAGCTAACTATGGCCTCATTATTCATTATTAGGCGAGTTTCTTTTGAGCTTTGTTGATATGGCCATTGCATCTTATACTTTTGACAACCTTAAATATCCTTTATCCTGGAATACTATTGATAAAGGAATGCAACGATTTCCAAACGCCTTTTTGTCTTTAATCAAAAAGGAAAAGATGGACCTAAGATACAACAGCGAAGTTTACAAGATAGAAAAAACTGATAATGGTGA